ACAAATGTAAGCAAGCCATCAAAAGCACATAAAGCAACAATAAGGTGAAGACCATTAAGCCAGTCACCTTCCTCATAATGTTTCCAAGGAAACCAGGGAAGCAGAAAAGCTAAACCATACAATGGTGCTCCATATAAAATCGAAAACTGACGTCTTGAGCAGCATGGGACTTTGGAGTTGTCTTGAATATACCCAAAGAGAGGGTCATTAATGGCATTCCAGATCATAAAAACTACCTGAGAAGAAAAATACAGAATTTCTCATTAGTGATATTTTTCTTTAGGATTCATCAAGACGTACATAACATCTGGAATAACAAAAGTGCTGACCTATATGATGGAAAGGTTAAACATATTTTGTACGTTGTACACTCTCAAACAAACATTATGTATATGTGTATGTAAAGTCATCTAAATTAAACTATTTCTAAATCTCTACTAACAGAGGATATTGATGCACAAACAATGAAGCACACCATGTCATATTTGTTTAATGTACAATTCTACTTGGAAAACAAAAAAGGAAAGCTTGCCAAATGGAAATGGACTAAGGCCAGATTTTTAAAGGTACTTTGGTGCTTTAAGATGCAGATTGGCACCTAGTAGGATTTTCAAAAGTGGGTGTTAGGCACTTAGGTGCATATGAAAATCCCACTAAGTGCCTACCCGCATTGTTAGCCATCTATATACCTTTAAAAATCTGGCCTTAAAGCCCCAGTCCTGCAAAGACTTACACACATGGTCCTTCATCTTGTAAACCCTTGTTGCATATTAGTAACTTTGAGAACATGAGTAGACCCTTTTAATTCATTGGGACTACATACATGAATAAGGTTGCTCACATAAGTAAGGGTTTTCAGGATCATGGCCATGTTTAACTTTAAGCACTAATAGCAGTCCTGGACTGCTATTACAGTTTAACACATGTATAAATCTTTGCTGAACAGGGATATAACCTTGGTAAAGAAAAACTTTATTTTGAAGTTTGTCAGAGTAACAAACATGCTTCCAACAATGGAATTTTTTTTAAATCTAAAAACTATTAACAATAAACTTTGAATACACCTATAATTTAAGGATCAAATATTTAATTCTATTTGCAGTATGTCAATAATTGATTCATCAATGAAGCAGAATTATTTCATTGTTATGATACAAACACCATGGACAACAATATGAAAAACCATGTTCCAATGTACTATACCTGTGCTTGATGAAATGCTACTTCTGAAATCTTGTATTGGTTTAAGAAAAGCTTAACATAGTAGAAATTAAAGATACTGTTCATCATTCCAGCACCTAGTGTGGTCATGGAATATGCCAGGGCATTAGGATGAATTCCTAAAACAAACTTCATTTTCCAAATTGTGAATGCCTCTTCTTCTTCTAATTATAAAAAAGGAAAAATACTGATAATTACTTATTGATTGACTAAGTACAATTGATATTTATAATCCTTGCTAATAGAGGACGACTGAATTCCATGTTACAGTGACACATATTTTAGTTTTACTACTTGGTAAAATGAAAAGCAATTGGAGATTTGCCTATATTAGGACTGCAAGAATGGATCCCTAGAGTACATGTTGGTCAACTTTATCATTCAGTCTCTTTCCAAATTTTAAAACGTACAACAAAATGTCTATAAAATTGAGTCAATAAGCTACAGTATTAAGAGATCAATTATGTTTCTTAATTTAGTATGAGTATTTAAATGTTGGTACATATGTATCAAAGAATACATTTATCATTTGTCAAAAACTGTATACCTAGACCCCAGTCTTGCACTGTAATCACCAGTGCAAACCCATACTCTGGTACAGTGCTAGTAAATCAGACTTTTTTCAAGTCTTTTTTTCTGGTTTCCCCCCAAAATTTACCTGTACATTTTATATTCATCTATACAATTAGATTTGACACAAGGTCTGCAACTGCTTACCCCAAAAAATTAGACAATGGGGTCCTCGGTTTCAGAAAGTTTGTTATTACTTCCCTCATAAATCCTTTCTGCAGAAACCAAACAAAACTCTAGGGCCATACCTAATGGCAATCTGGAATAGCTATTCAAACCACTGGCTGAACTTAGTCCAGTGCATTGCCTAATGAACTGGCCAATATATCTAGTGCTCCATATCAAGGTTGGTACCATATTCCCTCTCGCAAGAAGTGCACTTCTCCAACTGTGCAATGCTGTAAATATGTATGATAATTCCCTTCTACCTCCCTTTCCCCTGGTCAGCCTATATCTATACTAAATCATTAGATTTGACTTTGTATGAATCAGGAAGTGGAAACCAGGTAGGTTTAAGTTCCAAATTCCTAATGGCTACTAATGTACTGGTACATGTGTGCTAGAGGATCCCACAGAGCAAAACAGACTGTTATTTAAGCAAGTAACAGATGGGTCCCACCAGATTCAGCTGACCACCTTCCCACTCAAATAGACTTATAGACTTCAAGGTCAGAAGGGACCATCGTGATCATCTAGTCTGACCTCCTGCACATTGCAGGCCACAGAACCTCACCCACTCCTGAAATCAGGGCTTTGGAGCGGAGCTCGGAGCTGGAGCGCGGACCAATAGGTTTTTGCCCAGAGCTGGAGCGGAGCAATTCAAAAATTTGATTGCTCCAAATCCCTGCCTGAAATAGACCCCTAATCTCTGGCTGAGTTACTGAAGTCCTCAAATCATGGTTTAAAGACTTCAAGTTACAGAGAATTCACCATTTACATTAGTTTAAACCTGCGAGTGATCCATGTCCCATGCTGCAAAGGAAGGCAAAAAAAATCCCAGCCAATCTGACCCGGGGAAAAATTCCTTTCTGACCCCAGCTATGGCGATCAGTTAGACCTGAGCATGTGGGCAAGACCTACCAGGCAGCTACCTGGGAAAGAATTCTCTGTACCGATTCAGAGTCCTCCCCATCTAGTGTCTCATCTCCAGCAGTTGCAGATTTTTGTTGCTGGCAGTTGCCGATGGGCCACATGCCATCGTAGTCAGTCCCATCATACCACCCCCTCCATAAAAATATCAAGCTCAGTCTTGAAACCAGTTAGGTTTTTTACCCCCACTACTCCCCTTGGAAGGCTGTTCCAGAACTTCACTCCTCTGATGTTTTTTTGTCTAATTTCAAGCCTAACCTTGTTGATAGCCAGTTGATAGCCATTTGTTCTTGTGTTCACATTGACACTTAATTTGAATTACCAGGGAGGAAGAGGAGTTTTTATCCCTCTGATGTATTTAGAGAGAGCAATCATACTGCATAAAACTTGCTTCTCTCCAAGAAGCAATGACCAGGAGTAAAAGAAAACTAGTACACAGGTAGAGAGACGAAAATGGATTCCAAATGGTAATAAGCCCTGTCCAAACTGTGCTAGCTGACAGATACCATGCTCTACTGCAGGGGTTCCCGAATTGTAGTCTATTGGGCACTTGTTAGCGGTCCTCAGAACTGGCTGGTCATATCTTTTTTACGTCTTTTAAATCACATTAAAATGTAGCTTCAAATACATTATACTTTCTAATGTTGAGTGTAAGCAATTTCTGTAATTGACAGAGATATAATTGCAAATGGAAGGGAAAGAGGTCTGCATGATTTTGAATAGAAGGGAAGGTGAATACATGAAATATGATCCACCTTTACAAAAAAATTAGAGAACCCAAATTCTAATGGTTGCCAAGCATTGCTCCTTTTTAACACTACAGAACTGTGCTTGATAACCAGAAGACAGAAGGGTCTAGTGGACAGTTCACTGGACTAGAAACTTGGAAACCTTTGTTCTCTGTAGAGTTGGGCAAGTCACTGTTCCTTTCTCCAACAGTCCTGCCCTTCCCCATCTGTAAAGTGGGATTATGGTCACCCTTCTTTATAAATATTAAAGGTTTATGGATGAAAAGTACTATATAATTTCTAGGTATTATCATGGATAATTATTTTCAAACATGGTAGCAGCTGCTACCATGCTTCAGTGTGGCCACAGATTCCTCACCAAACAACAGCACTATGGGAAGTTTACAATAAAAAGACATGGTTGGTATCTGTGAGCTGCAGAATACAATTCTGTTTGAAAGCATTTGAACAGAACCAAGCATTCATCCCTAGGGACCCCAGGATGCTTTATGGACCATACATACACACAGAGATCACTTCAGGGACCACTTAACGGCATACACCTATGAGGCCCCTAGACTCACCTATTCCTATCTCTCTGTACTTCACCACCATTCCCACCCTCATAGCTCCCCCATCCAAAGCTCCCCATCCCTCTGTACTTCACCACCATTCCCACCCTCATAGCTCCCCCATCCAAAGCTCCCCATCCCTCTGTACTTCACCACCATTCCCACCCCCCACAGCTCCCAGGGGTGCTGGAACAATTTGTATAGTGGGTGTGCTGAGAGCCATTAAACCAAACTGTAAACCCTGTATATGATGGAAACCACTTCAAGTCAGGGGGTGCTACAGCACCTATGATAGCTCCCCCATCCAATCACCCCCACAGGTTCCCATCCTCCCCCAACCCCCATTTCTCCTCAACTCCCCCTTATCCACCCTGGGAATTAACCCCTCACAGTCTGCCCACACACAACAAGCACTAACCGACTCGTTGTCTCCGCCCTCCGGCCGGAGGCTGCGCAGCTCACTCGGGGGGCGGAACTTAGCTTCCAAACCCACCTTCTCCCCCGCTCCATTGGCTGAGTGGAGGCTTTCTGCACGTGATTGGTCGGCGTTCCGGTCGATCCCTGAGTGGCGGCATGCGATTGGTTATCCGCCGGACAGGTCAGAGTGCCTGTTTTGAATAATCGTTCCCCTGGTAGTAAGAAGGCGGTTGCCGATGCCACGTTGCTGCCGGCTGCGGTGTCGGGCCCGGCCGGGAGAGGGGGGAACTCGGCAAAATCCGGAAGCACTCGGCAAAGTCCGGCCGCGGCTTTAAAGGAGCTGAGCGATCCCCGGCTCGCCCTGCGCCGCGGTTCGGTTGGCTGTGAGCGCGAGGAGCCTACGGGTGCCGGCGCCGCTGCCTAGTCCGCCCGTCCGTGCAGCCGCGGCGGGGGCCGCGATGTTGGCCGACAGCCTGGTGGAGGAGTTCGAGATCCGCGATGATGAGCCCTGGTACGATCAGCAGGACCTGCAGCAAGGTGAGCAGCCTGGCCGGGGCTCCGCGTGGAGGATGCCCGTCTTATGGGGTCTCGCCCCTCCGGGCGCAGGGGACTGGGTCCCGCTGACCAAGGCGCTGGAGGAGCCTTCTCTGGCGGCGGCTGCTGCGGGGGATGGAGGGGGGGGGGAGGACAGGTAAGTCTCTGGGGGGGGGGACTCCCTATGAGAGCGGGGGGGGCAGGTAAGTCCCGAGGGGGGCTCTCAATGAGGTGGGGCAGGTGAGTCGGGGAGGGGGAATGATGTGGGGGGGAGAGAGGAGAGCAGAAGGGAAACGTGGACCTGGGGAGGGATGGGACAAAAAAGCGGCGAGGAGGGGTGTGAGCGGACGGGCGGACAGGACGGGAGCGCGCGGCGGGAGGGGAGGAAAAGGACGAGGGAGGGTGCAGAGGACAGAAGGGTACAGTTGGCCCCGAGAGGGTGGCGGGGGGGTACTCGGAGAAGGGGAGGGGGCTCTCTTGGGGAGGGAGGAAATGGGAGACCGCTCTAGGCTGGGGGCGCACAGGAGGAGGGAGAGGGCTCTCTTCTCTAACAATTGAAGCTGCAGGGCGTTTGCCATTATGCAGCTTCTTAGGGGACCGGGGGTTTAACGGGAGGCTAACCAAGAATAGCAAAGTACTGTAAGGCGCAATGGTATCGTGCCACCTTCGCAGTCATGGCTTCTGGGCCGTGTGTGACTGGGTAGGAATACGGACTTCTGCAAAACAAACCCTGTATTTAAAGAGTGGCTTGTGTACCTGGCTTAAGAACTGGTTCTTCCCTTAACTTTGTTCACTTTTTAGGGGTTAGACTGTGCCACTCTGTGTAATGCTGTACCTCTTACATAAAGCCGCTCGGTAAAGCGAATGCTTTTGCTTTAGCTGCAGTGCTTGCTTAAAATAGAATAGCTGTAAATAATACTTCGGGGTTTCCACACCCCGTCACCGTCTTTTGCCTACCTGTAATTAAAGGGCTTGCAATTGATTACATTGTAAATACTAGGATGAGTACTTGTGGCACCTTAGAGACTAACAAATTTATTTGGGCATAAGCTTTCGTGGGCTATAACCCACTTCATCATAAAGCTTATGCCCAAATAAATTTGTTGGTTTCTGAGGTGCCACAAGGACTCCTTGTTGTTTTTGCTGATACAGACTAATAGGGCTACACCTCTGAAACCTGTCACATTGTAAATACTGGAATATCTTTATTATGGATAGATGGTCAGTTACTGCTCTCAGCTCCTCTTTACACATGTCCTGTTTACAACTTACTATGAACATTCATTGCATAATTCCAATATGAATTTGCTTATCTTAATAATAAATGTGTACCTCTTATAGTGCTTTTTCATCAGTAGTTCGCTAAGTATTTTATAAAGCTGGTAAGTAGGCACTGAGGCACAGTAGTGGACTGAATGTATGACATTATCAGTTTTCTTAACTTCTTGTAGGCATTAATTGGAATGAATGTAGAATAACTTTCTTTGGATTTAACAATGTTTAACATTGGTATTTAGACTTACTTTTAAAATCCTATGTACATTCTTAAATGGCCAGCTCAGAACTGGAAGATTGAGAGAAGTGGCTTCCTCAAAACTAGATTTAATTAAAACTTGATTTCTCTAAGCTCTTCCTCATATAAACTCTTTGGAGTAGGGGCAGTTCTTTTGTTCTGTTTGTACAGTGCCGAGCACAGTGGGGTCCTTATCCATGACTGGGGCTGATAGGTACTATTACACTATAAAGAATAAAGGTAGGGAAAAAACCCCACTGTTTTCATACTAACGTCAAGCAGCTAACAATAAAAATTCCATCTCTCTAAGGTCAGAATAAGTCTGGAATTTTGTATGTTTTAACCAACTTTACTAACTGTTGAATAGCTATTTTTGAGTGCTTCATACTCAAAAACAATAGTTTTCTTAGATTGTAACTTAATATGATCACATAACCATAAATAGTTTGCTGTTGCCTAGAAAAACTGGTGAACCATCTGAAATGATTCTCTAATGATTTAGACCTTTTTTCCAATCCATTGTAAAGCTGTCACTGTTCAAAGCCAAACATAGCTGTGTGAATCACCTAAACTGCCTCCTGAAGTGTACTGTGATTCGCTTCTGCCTTATAATGTTCTTTTGGTCTGATCTGAATGGAAAATAAGTGGATTAACCTTTTTTATTTATTATTATTCCTTGTATCAAACTGTTATTTTGTGTTGTATTTATAAGTTCCACCTCACAAGTTAGTGTATTTCAGTGGTGGTTAAGAGATTCTCATATATCAAATAGACTTAAATACAGATTCTCTCATTAGAAAATGCCCTAAGTGTAAGTAATGATTAGCCTTGCCAAAAAAAGATGATAGTAAAAAAATCACAAAGCAGGAGGTAAACTTCCTGTAAAGGGATTTTTTCCTCATTCTGCTTTTTTTAAATGCTCTATTGTCTGCAATACTCTTAGGAAGTTTGAAAATATTTCCCATCACTTTAAAATCTGGCAAACATTGACTTTTTGTCTATTGAGTAGAACTGAAGCTAAATGATGATTTTTTTTATCTGCAAATGATTTTTATAGCACCCATTATGTCAAGAGATCTATGCATTAGCGTAATTAAAATTAGCACAGCTCTGAGAATAATATTGGATGCTGCTGCTGTGCTGAGAGAGATCAGGATGTTTGAGGATCCCTTAAAATTAACTAAAAATCCTAACTCCCTTAGCAGTTGAGTAGTTAAATTTTAACTCTCAAGATTTGAAAATCCCAAGTTCAAAGTAAGTCAAAGTTCAGACCAAACCTTTGATTGTGTTATGAACAATAAACTCCTGAAACTTCCACCTTTAAAAATTGAGAATGTAATATCCAGCCAGACTTCTTGTTAAAGCATAATGTTGCTTGAAGTGAATTTTCATGTCTGAAATATTCAAGAATGGGAGGAGCAATTCCCTGCTTTCGTAGGACTGTATTTTGTTGCAGTGTATTGACTTTCTGAAAAGGCTTCTCTCATATAAGGAAAGTGATCATAATGCTGTTGTTCAAAAATTAACAATCTGGAATGGAGGGTATAATATACATTCCATGGTGACAATTCTAAAGCTTGCTTAAAAGCAAGGATCTGATGGTAAACCAGGACTGCTTAGTAGTCTCTTCTGTTGTTGAAAATATCATTTTGCTGTACAAAGTCCTCTTATGTAGACTATTAAAACATTGGGGGAGGCGGAAATCTTGACACCTCCCCCAATTATAGTAACAGTGTCAGCATGGTTTGTACTCCAGTGTAATTGAGAAATGTTTAATGCAATAAGCAAGAACAACTTCTAAGTCTCACTTTAGTGTGGACATTCCAGACATAATTAAACATGATGAGGGGCAGAGATAGAGCTACCAAAATCTTACTCACCTTATTTTACCTAGAGGAGTAACTCATAAAGTGACTGACTTTAATTTGCATTATTTAAGTAAGAATGGATGACTGTGGCTCACAATAACTTTAGCCTCAAAGTGAAAAGTGACCTTCCCCACACATCTGTTGGGATTTCATTAATACATTGGCATAAATTTACAGTACCTGAGATCACAGCTAAGAACTTATAGCTGCTGTCCCTCTGCACTCATTGTACTGAACCTTTTAAAGAATTTACATTGCTTTGTTTCCTTATTCATCTGGACATCTAAGTCCTATATCTGCTTACTTATTTTTCTTGATTATCCACGCACTTAATGAACTTACTTGGCTGAGAAGTCCTTTCACTGGCCAAACTCCCCTGGACATCAGCATACTTAGTCTGCAGGATCAGTTGAGTAAATTAAAAAAGCTAATACTCTTTAACACACGTGCTAATGGGACTGATTATTTTTTTCCCCAAAGATGTTATACACGGGTAGCTCCCATTGATTTCACTGGGGTTTATGGGTGCTCAACCTTGCTGAAAATTGTTTAATTAGAAAGTAGATCCTTTCTGTAATGCTTAAAAATACTGGAGTTTTAGTATAGAACAAAATCTCTCACTTCTTTGCCTGTTTTTAAACAATGGGGTTTGTTTTGGTTTTTTTACACGCATTTTCTTGGTCTTTTCCACCTGTTTTCCTGCCTATCACGAGAAAGCCAACAGATTCTCTGAGAAGAATGGTGAATATTTCCTATAAGAAAATATCAATGCTTCTGTGAATCTTGTGTCAAACTAACAAGAGTATGTTTAAATCTGCAGCATGTACTTGGGTGCTCCATATAGACAGGAATACTTGCATACCACTTTATATGTTTGAAGTGCTGGGTAAATACTAACAATATGTACTGATATTCATGCATATGTAACTTCATGTTTATATGCATAGTTTAATTTCTTCTAACTGCACTTCTAGATACACTTTTTGTAAAGTATGCTTAGAGCCATAACACAAATCCAGGAGACAAGCTCAGATCCACAAAGATATTTAGGCTCCTAACTGCCACTGAAATTAATGAAAGTTAGGAGCTAAATACCTTTGAGGATCTGGGACAAAATGTTTAACTTTGTGTGTTCTGAGTAATTCTAAGAGTTATAAACATTCTTTGTTTAACAGAATCTTATTCTGTGCCTTATTTAAAGCATAGAGCCTTATGTGATGACAAAGTAAAAGTTGGAACACTGTATTATTTGAGGTAACAGAAAAAGTTGCTACAAATTGTTGAATGGCTTTAATGATTACATGGCTGCTGGTTACCCAAGGCTAGTGTGTTGTGTTGGTTTAGAATTTGTAAAATAGGATTATATTTGTATAACATTATATAGGGGATTATAGACTCACTGAAGTTAGACTGCAGGAGTTACCCCGAAGAAAGAAATGTGGAAAAATAAAAGGGGCTGTTTCTGACTGCCAGTTTAAACTTTATCTTTGCCTCTGGTTAATCAAAATGAAAGTTTACACTTTCTACCTCTGTAGACTGCAAGGAAACATCAAGCAAAATGTCTTAAGTAAAGTTGGTGAGGATTGGGAGATTTGTAAACAGCCCAGAGAATTAAGCTGTAGCTGGGTTTGCACTTCTTAACAAATGGACTCATGATCAAAATTATTCTTTCAACTCCTACCAGGTTAGATGAAAATACTCCGTTTATTATGACCATTTTATAAAAAGTGCAGGGATATACCCACTACCTTGCCTATGTATTTTGTGCATTCTAGAACATACACACTTTGTATTCATAAACAAAATTAACTTAATATTGGCTTATATAACCTTTGGATGCAGGAGGAGGGACTTCGGTTTGCTGGGTAATGAACCTTTTAGTTTGAGGAGATTAGCTGTAATCCTAAAAATGACATAAGGAGTGTGAGGCAAGAAGATTGCATTGATGTCACTATAGAATGATATACTAACCTTTAATTGCTGAACTATTTAGCAGTATATCACCAGAGAACAACTTTATTTCTGTTTTCTTATGTACATCAGTTAATGCCTTGTTTATTTCCCCACTATTCAGTTAAATCATATGGTGTATTTTGATGTATACAATTTACATAAACTTGCTGGAGTATCAGAATCCCAGTACAATGTTTGGATGCCATGTTTTCTGGCACTGCTTTTCTACAACTAGTAGTTAACTTGCAAGATATGGGACTAACAACTACTATGGTACAGTGGAGTCTTGGGCCCTTGTCTACAGTAGGAAAAAAGTTTAACTTGGATGCATTAAATTTCTAAACATGGGCATGTTATTGTGTATTTAATAGATTTCCTCCCCTCTCCCCCCACTGTGGATATGGCCTCTGACTTGCTGCTGTTAGTAGTCATTGGGTGTGGGGTTTAAATTTACTTACTCTTACTGGTGCAGATCTTGCCCTTCTCTTTCATAGAATCATAGAATAACAGGGTTGGAAAGGACCTCAGCAGGTCATCTAGTCCAACCCCCTGCTCAAAGCATTGATCAGTGGCCTTTGTTTTAAGAATCAGATTGCAAGGAATATTTTTTTCTTTGCTATGCTCAAAGTAGGAAATAACACCTTTGAGAACAACTTTGTTACAAGTAAAGAATATATAATTCATGGATTATTTGATCTGCTAAAGCACTTTAATATCTCTCCGAACACCCTGTTGGAAGATCTCAAGTTTCTGTGCATATTTGTTTGGGAAGTTCTTTGGTTTATGCATCAGAATGTAGTGATAATTTGAATATTCTGTCTAATTGAAGGCTGCCCAAATCAATTTTTAACAGGATTTTATTCCATTACAGCAACTGGATAGAGATAAGCTATCAAACTAAAATGAAACAAGATAAAAACAACGGCATTTGAACTTCCAACCTAAAGAAATATTGGGAGTTCATATTCCAGCCTATTATCTGTACCGCTCATATATATTATACATGCTTTTAAATCTTGGCGGAAAGAATTCTAAATTCTCCTTGGCTTGTCCTTCCTTGTATTCTGGCACTCTGCCGTTTATGATGATAGTTCCATATATCTAAAACTTAACAAGATTGTATTGCCAGCTTGCATGTATATGACAATCTGGTCATGGTCCAAGTGATGTGAAAGAGGTGGAAAATTACAAACTCTGTATAAGGAATTGCAATGTAGCTATTGGATTCTGCACTTATCTTCTATATGAAATATAATGCCATGTTTGGGGGGGTTACTACTCTAGCAATAACCTAGATTATTGATCTCCATTGTCACACAAAATGTGAGATGCATGCAACATAAGGACTAATAATGTGCTACTTATTGCATATAATTCTTTCATAAGCTTGGAATTTACTAATCCAGGCTATAGTTAAAGGAGGGCATCCAAGTTTAGCTGTAGTCCCTGTATATGTGTGGATTCCTCATTCTTTAAAAACAAAACAAACGAACAACTGCAATATTCATAGGAACTCTGGAAATTGCTGAGGAGGATTAGGCTGAGTTTCAAATATCTAAGAGAACAAATAGCATTTAGAATCTTTTTTGAGAAAAGGAAACTAACCATTGTCTGGTGCTGTTTATAAGTAGAGAGACACACAATACATATCTGAGCACGTTATCTAACTTCCTATTTCATCAGAAAACGTGTTTGTTTGAAAATCTTCAGCTGATTGTCTAATGGTGCTGCATGGGCTGGGTTGCCTTTTGGGGTGGTTGGAGGAGCAAGGGGACATCAAATATTGTTCCAGGCCTGGCCTAACCAGTACTTAACAGGCCTTCTTGCTTTTTACTCCCCTCTCAGAATGGGTTTAGCAGTTACTAATTGAGGGATCTAGGGTAAGAGCTACTTGGTGGTACACTACTGGGACTCGTGTTTATGCTGCTCTCTGCCTACCATGTTGGGAGCATCATTCCCATTCATCCTCACCTGCATAGGGGACAATGTGAATGGGCAGATGTAGATGGGGAATGACAGAAGGCAAAGAGTGATCAGGTGAGGAAAGTAAAACTAATGTGGTGGAGAGGAGACTAAAAAGGATGGAATGAATGAGGGGGGAAAATGGAGAATTAGCCTCAATCTCAAAGAAGTTGTATTGTAGCATAATAGCTTGTACTTGGACACAGTTATAACTACCGTAACTCTGAGAATTTAATTGAAATAACATAGTAATGGTCAGATTGCACAAACTGGGTCTTAAAATTTACAGGCAGATTATTTATTTATTTAGATCTGCATCTTGCTGCTGAGCTTGGGAAGACGTTATTGGATCGTAACACAGAACTGGAGGAATCTTTGCAGCAAATGTATGCAACCAATCAAGAGCAACTACAAGAGATAGAGGTAAATTTTAAGGAGTATGGGTGAGTTCTATTGCAGAGTTTGATAATCTTGAAGTGTGGACATTTAAATCATTTGAATACCATGAAACTTGATTTTGATATGGTATTATGACTCCTTCAAAACTTCATCTTCCAAGTAAACATTCTGAATGCCTCTTGCAGTTAATTTTAGTCTGATTCTAAATTTTCGAAAGCTTGATAACATGCATAGACACAGTTTCCTCTCCTTAATAGAATCTTTGTATCTTCACTAAATTTAACTTCTATAACTATAATGACAAGTACCAATTGTGTTTGTATAAACTAGCTGTTTCAGAAATGTATACTGTTTAAAACAAGGGTTTCTCTATATAAATACATGATGTGGGTGGATTACTTTTCTTAACAAATCCAGAAAATACATGTAGAAGAAATCTGTAGGTTTTTGAAAAGCCTGCATTATTTGAAATAGTATGACTAGCTGTTTCCACAAATATCTTCATATGCACAAAAATTGTAAGTTTAACAAATGTTATCATGCCGTACGCAAAAGGCTTCCTGTAATTACACAGTAGAGAGCAGTGATATTTTTGCATGCTGTATATTTAATATTTTAGTCTGATCAAAAGTATTAAAGTCAATTGCAAAGAACTTATTCTATTTAATAGTGTTTTCAGCATTTCAATCATCCATTGATATTAATTTTAAACTTTTAAATTAATTAAATGAACTGTGAAATGAACTGACTGGTAATTAAGAAGAATCTACATAACTGAATAGGTCCACATGATACAAGTAGTATTAAAGCAATCATCAATTTAAAGTAAAGTGTATATATCTGCCTGCAATTTAGAGAATGTTGAAATGATCTTTCAGTACAATAATGGCAATCACTACAGCTTTAATCCAACATTTGTATTAGGTTGCATATGGAAGCAAATAATGCTGTGTTGGTGGTAACATGGCATTTTAAATTCTAGGATGCTTGTAGGTGTCCCACGTTAGCTGTGTGTTTTTGTTTTTTGTTTTTTTTTTTAATTAGAAAATTCACACAACAGGTGCACAGTATAGACAAAAAATGCCCTCTTCTAAGGATACCTTTGTATTGCTGATTTTTGACATACCTCACACAGCTTACTTGACTTTTTCCCCCCCCTATTAAATCATGGTAGATCTAGTCTCTATATCCAGCTCATTCTGTAATATAAAGGACATCAATAAAGTAAAACAATGCTGGAGTTAAAGCTACCAACCACAAACAAACCCAACCTATCTGCATTTGTTTATGCAGAGCTCTTGAAATGTCTCCCGAGTCTAAATGGTTCACAAATAAGATTGATCCTTAGGGTCTGAAGTATGTAAACTCTTAGAGCAACTACACAAACTATTAGGTCTCCCACTCTGATGTACATTAAGGTGCAAGGAAGGGCAATGAAAATGATGGGGGGGTATGGAACAGCTTCTATATGAGGAGAGATTAAAAAGAATGGAATTATTCATTTTAGAAAAGAGATGACTAAGGGGGGGGGGGGATATGATAGAGGTCTATACAATCATGAATGGTACGGAGAAAGAGACACAAGAACTAGGGCAGTAGTTCTCAAACTTATTTGATCGCACCCCCCCTTCTTCATGTATGTAGTAGTTATGCCCTCTTCTCCCCTACTATCCCCCAGCCACACAAGTACATATGCCCATATACGCAGCAGTGCTTCACTTGAATCATTTTTTTGCTTCTTTGTTTTTCACATGAATTTTTTTCTGCTGCATGAATGAGCCAATGATCCATTGTAATAAGAGCAAAAGCAAAACAGTGATTGTAGTCCATACTTAAATAAATGTGCATACTGCATCGTAGCAAACGGATTAACATGCAGATGGCAACGACTTTGTATAATGCTAAGCAAGCTTAACAGATATCTGTCAACATGCACAGTGCCATCTAGAGCCAAATGCACAGTGCTGTCTGATATGTCTGGAGGAATCAGCTTTGCTAGTTACTTGTTGCTGTGGGTAAAATGTGTGCAGTAAGATTTTTTTCTTTTTTTTTCCCCCTGAAAGATTCTCAACTCCCTCCTGAATATATTCCACGCCTCCTAGTTTGAGAACCTCTGAACTAGGGGGAATCACCCAATGAAATTAATAGGCAGCAAGTTTAAAAACAAACAAAAGGAGTACTTCTTCACAGAACACACTATCAACCTGTGCCAACAAGTATCACTGGGTTCAAAAAATAATTAGATCTATCCTCCATGAAATTATCTGTCAATGGCTACTAGCCAAGGTGCTCAGGATGCAATCCCAGGCTCCAGGTGTCCCAGCCAGAAGCTGGGACTAGATGATGGGGGATGGATCACTTGAAATTGCCCAGTTGTGTTCATTTCCTCTGAAGCATATGGCACTGGCCACCATCCGAGACTGGATACTGGTGGACCATTGGTCTGACATATGGCCATTCTTATGCCCATCACCTTGTAATGCACTCATTTTATGAAGAGACGGTGAGGAAATGCTATAATCTTGCCAAAAGAATAAACTGAAAAAAAACAATCTGTCCTACACACGTTACTTGAGTAGCTATCTAAAGAGCCTTGTTGCGTCTGCTTTATTCATATAGATTTTTGAGAGCTTATTTTAAAAAAAATACTGATGTAACCTGATCTTTATTACAGTCAATTAGCGTTGCGCATAATATAACTTGTGTATGTTTCATTTCAAAAGACAATTTCCTTGTCTTCGCTGCATAGGAAGGGTTAAGGGAATTGAAACATGTAGAACTGTTCATAATCTAATTTTGAAGATTAAAACTAAAGTTTTAAACACTTGACATCATTAGGTATTTAGTCTCTGACCTTTGCACTGACACGTATGCTACTAACTAATCATGATGGATGTAATAAATGGTGCAATAGCAGATTAAAACCAATGCCAGAAAAACTAACCAAGACTGTTCATGAATCTTGGCATCTCTTGTAAATCCAAATGTGGGGCGTTACAGCTCTCCTTTTCATAATGATCTAGTGGAGTGTAAGCCTGCTTGGCAGTGTTTCACTTGCAGTTACATATTAAGTTTTCCTATTTCCCTTGGAATTGATGTAGATGCTAGTGTGAATTTCTGAAATATCGGGAAAGCCAGTACAAACTTTGATGTTTGCATTTGGGGTTTCTGCTCTCATCTCCTGCATATTTTCAAGTTACGCTGACATCAGCCATGCAAGGTGAGATGAAGTGTAGTTCCTTGAGAAAGGGAGTAATCTACTCTCTCCCTCATGTTCCATTCCACCTAAAGTATAACCTGTCAGCCTAGGCTACCATTCAGTGGGTTCTTTATTATTCATTAAAGCACCTAAATTCAGAACTCTAATCTTCATGTTTATATGCTTAGTCACCTTTCCCGGTTGAAGAAACCATGAACGTTTCCAATTTCTTTGAGACTAGCAGATAGGGAAAGTTAATCTGAAATGGGTCACACTGAGATTCTGTTGGTTAATCCACATGCTATTCTTGTGTGAATCCTGTGTCACGTGCCCGTGGGTTGCAAAAAGATCTAACCAACAGCTATCCGATTGATCTTGTAGTAGTTTGTTTGTAGCAGTGCATAGCCCTAGATTAACTTGTAATCGCTTCTTAAATTACCTAAAATGTAAAGCCATCAACCTTCTAATGCAGTAAAAGGTTAAGTAGAATATTAGAAGCTTTGATTACATAATTAGCAGGTCACTTACAAGAGTAATTGCTCCTAATCTAGAAATCTTTCAGACAACTTTGATGTGGATGATTTTGAACATTTAGCATCCAACTGTGTAAAATGTGGTTAAATTTAGAACCTAATACTTCAAGAAATATTCTATGTTCAACTTCTTTAGGACAAACTAGTTCATGATGATGTGAACTTGATTTTAAACTTATTCTAAAGATCATGGAGCAAATAACTAAGCAATCAATTTGCAAACACCTAGAAAATAAGGTGATAAGTAACATTCAACATGGATTTGGCAAGAACAAATCATGTCAAACCAACCTAATGGCTTTCTTTGACAGTGTAACAAGCCTAGTAGATAGGGGGAAGCAGTAGATGGGTATATCTTGACTTTAGTAAGGCTTTTGATACCGTGCTGCATGACCTTCTGATAAACAAATTAGGCAAATACAACCTAGATGGAGCTATTTTAAGGTAGGAGCACCCCACTGATTGGAAAACCGGTCCAGAGAGTAGTTATCAATGGTTCACATTCAAACTGGAAGGGCATATCAAGTGTGGTCTCACAGGGATCAGTTCTGAGTCTGGTTCTGTTCAATATGGCATAGAGAGTACACTTATAATCTTTGTGGATGATACCAAGCAGGAAAGGTTGCAAGTGCTTTGGAGGACAAGATTAAAATTCAAAATGATCTGGAGAAATGGTCTGAAGTAAATAAGATGAAATTCAATAAGGACAAATGCAAAATACTCCACTTAGGAAGGAACAATCAGTTGCATATATACAAAATGGGAAATGACTGCCTAGGATGGAGTACTGCGGAAAGAGATGTGGGGGTCATAGTGGATCACAAGCTGAATGAGTCCATGTAGCACTGTTGCGCCCAAAAAAAAAAAAAAAAGGCAAACATCATTGTGGCATGTATTAGCCAGAGTGATGTAAGCAAGACACAAGAAGTAATTCTTCCACTCTGCTATGTGCTGATTAGGCCTTAACTGGAGTATTGTGGCCGGTTCTGGGTGCCACATTTCAGGAAAGATGTAGACAAATTGGAGAGAGTCCAGAAAAGAACAAAAAAACGATTAAAGGTCTAGAAAACATGACCTCTGAGGGAAGATTGAAAAAATTGGGTTTGTTTGGTCTGGAGAAGAAGACTGAGACAGGACATAACACTTTTCAAGTACATAAAAGGTTGTTAAAGGAGGGAGAAAAATTTGTTTTTGTTAGCCTCTGAGGATAGGACAAGAAGCAACGGGCTTAAATTGCAGCAAGGAAAAAAGACGGCTAAGGGGAGATATGATTGAGGTCTATAAAATCATGACTGGTGTAAAGAAAGTAGATAGAAGTAGTAAATAATACTTCTCTCATAACACAAGAACTAGGGGTCACCAAATGAAATTAATAGGCAGCAGGTTTAAAACAAATAAAAGGAAGTATTTCTTCACACAACGAACAGTCAACCTGTCGAACTCTAAAGAGCATTCAGGAATTAGTGTGTATGAGACTGTTGCAGTTTTGAAAACAAGTATAACATAAGAAAGGCCGTACCGGGTCAGACCAAAGGTCCATCTAGCCCAGTATCCTGTCTACCGACAGTGGCCAATGTCAGGTGCCCCAGAGGGAGTGAACCTAACAGCCAATGATCAAGTGATCTCTCTCCTGCCATCCATCTCCACCCTCTGACAGAGGCTAGGGACACCATTCCTTACCGGTCCTGGCTAATAGCCATTAATGGACTTAACCACCATGAATGTATCCAGTTCTCTTTTAAACTCTGTTATAGTCCTAGCCTTCACAACCTCCTCAGGTAAGGAGTTCCACAAGTTGACTGTGCGCTGGGTGAAGAACTTCCTTTTATTTGTTTTAAACCAGCTGCCTATTAATTTCATTTGATGACCCCTAGTTCTTGTATTATGGGAATAAGTAAATAACTTTTCCTTATCCACTTTCTCCACATCACTCATGATTTTATATACCTCTATCATATCCCCCCTTAGTCTCCTCTTTTCCAAGCTGAAGAGTCCTAGCATCTTTAATCTCTCCTCATATGGGACCCGTTCCAAACCCTTAATCATTTTAGTTGCCCTTTTCTGAACCGTGTCTAGTGCCAGTATAGCAATCTTGTGAAGAAGCACCCACTATAGATCGCACTTCTTGCGCTT